AGATATCCTCACACTAGCAAGGTGGCCATGGAACAGATGGTGTCAGACATGTTAGCTACATGTATCATACGTCCTAGCACAAGCCCATTCTCTAGCCCAGTGCTCTTAGTAAAGAAGAAGGATGGGTCTCTACGTTTTTGTGTGGATTACAGATCATTGAACAGAGCTACGGTTTTGGACAAATATCCAATTCCAGTTATTGATCAACTGCTCGATGAGTTACACGGAGCTTCAGTATTCTTTAAATTGGATCTTCGTTCTGGATATCATCAGATAAGAATGGTCGAGATGGACATTCACAAGACAGCATTTCGGACAGTGGAAGGGCATTACGAATTCATGGTCATGCCCTTTGGACTATCTAATGCACCAGACACGTTTCATGCTCTTATGAATAAAGTGTTCAAGCCTTTCCTACGTCGTTTCGTTTTGGTATTTTTTAATGATATTTTAGTCTACAGCAAGGATCATGTAGAACATGAAGATCACTTACGTCAAGTGCTGCAAATCTTGCGTGAACAGAAGCTCTTTGCTAATCAAAAGAAGTGTACTTTTGGAGTGCAAAGTGTAGAATACCTTGGCCATATTATCTCTGAAAATGGCGTGGCTACGGACTCCGCTAAGATAGCTGCTATGACGTCTTGGCCCATTCCAACGACGGTTAAACAGTTAAGAGGTTTCCTTGGTCTAACAGGGTATTATCAAAGATATGTCAAGGATTATGGTACAATTGCTAGGCCGTTAACCAGTCTATTGAAGAAAGATTAATTATGTTGGTCACAGGAAGCGCAGTCAGCGTTGGATAAACTCAAAGATGCGATGGTTCATACCCCTGTTCTGGCGTTACCTAACTTTCAAGAAACTTTTGTGATTGAATCAGATGCATATGGATTCGGTCTTGGAGCGGTATTGATGCAGAATAAACGTCCTATTGCGTTTTTCAGTCACGCTTTAACACCTAGAGAACAGTTGAAACCTGCTTATGAAAGGGAACTGATGGCTATTGTCATGGCAATACGCAAATGAAAGCACTACCTATTGGGGCGTAAGTTTCACGTTCATATGGATCAGAGGAGCTTGAAGTTTCTCTTGGAACAAAAAGAAGTGAATCTTGACTATCAGAAGTGGTTGACAAAGATCCTTGGGTTTCATTTTGAGATTTTTTACAAGCCAGGGCCTGAAAATAAAGCAGCTGACGGACTATCAAGGTCATTATCAGTGTCTTCTTTGTTGTTGTCTCTGACCATTCCGACGGTCTTACAGTGGGAGGATTTGTATCGTGAGATAAGTGAAGATAATGGGATTCAGAGTACTATATCAAAAATTCAGTCAGAGGAATTACAGTCAAAGAAGTATCATGTCAGTGAAGGAAAGTTATGGTCTAAACGTCGACTTGTAATACCAAATTCACGTTTCATTCCGTTGATATTAAACGAAGCTCATGACAGTAAGATGAGAGGCCACTCGGGTGTTCTAAAGACGGTGAAACGAGTCCAGTGTTCTTTTTCTTGGAAGGGGACGTACAAAACTATTCAGGAATATGTTGCAGCCTGTAACGTGTGTCAAGTGCATAAACATTCTACTCTTTCTCCCGCCGGGCTCCTCCAGCCACTTCCTATTCCGACAATGATATGGGAAGACATTAATATGGACTTCATTGAAGGCCTTCCATGTTCTAATGGATTCAATTCTATACTGGTGGTGATTGATAGGTTGAGCAAGTTTGCTCACTTTGTGTGTTTAAAGCATCCGTTCACAGCAATAGAGGTGGCTCAGAAGTTTATTCAGGAGGTAGTACGACTACATGGGTTCCCAAAGAGTATTACCTCTGATCGAGACAAGATCTTTCTAAGCTCTTTTTGGAAGGAGGTCTTTCGTTTGGCGGGTACAAAACAGATGGACAATCAGAGGTCTTGAACAGGTGTTTAGAGTCTTACTTGCGGAGTTTCTCTTCCTCACGTCCACGTACTTGGCAATCTTATGTGGCCTGGGCCGAATTGTGGTATAATACTACTTTTCATAAGTCCATTCAGACGACTCCTTTTAAGATTGTCTATGGTCGTGATCATCCTCCCTTGCTGCGCTTTGAAATGGGGTCTACAAGTAATTTTGAGCTCGAGCGTGCTTTGCGTGATAAAGATGAGGTGTTGGTAGCTCTGCAGCATAATCATTCGTGCGCTCAAGAGATCATGAAGACTCAAGCAGACAAGTCACGAAGAGATGTTCAATTTGAGGTTGGTGACATGGTCTTTCTAAAGATCCAACCGTATCGTCAAAAATCTGTGGGGAACCGATGGTGTCAAAAGATATCCGCAAAGTTTTTTGGTCCATACCGGGTGTTGGAACGCATTGGTGCTACTGCTTACAAATTACAGTTACCACCGGAGGCTAAGATTCATCCTGTCTTTCATATTTCGCAATTGAAAGTAGCGTTGGGCTCTCGTGAACAAAGTGAAACGTTACCTCCGGGGGGTCTCACTGAGGCTGAAGAAGATGTCCTCCCTGAAGATATTCTAGAGAAACGTTATAATGCGCAAGGAGATTTGGATTTGTTGATAACTTGGCAAGGACGTTCTTTTCTCGAGAATTCTTGGATGCCGTATCAAGAATTCATCACTTGTTTTCCAGATTACCAGCTTGAGGGCAAGCTGGATTTCGTTGGGGAAGTATTGATAGGTTCAAGAAAGTGTATGTTCGTAGGAAGAAGAGAGGAGAGGAGAAAGAAGACGAGGGAAAGGATTTAAATGTTGAACCTTCTGGATAAGAAAAAGGCTTTAAAGAAATAAAGAGGAGAGAAGAGCCTCAGTTGAAAGAAGAGGGTTAGCAGTTACAAATTTGAATAGGTATCTTAGCTCTTATAAAAGGAAGTAGCCGTTGTTGGTAGAGTCTATGCTTTGTATGTTGTATTTCCTCAGACGTCATGAGTCCTGAGATACTAACCATTATGAGGCTAATGAGAATGGTGAACTCGTCATGAGAGTGATCCAGGATCGTACTACAAAGTTGTAATTGTTTCATTGTAATTGAAAGAGGAATTCATAGTCTTTAGTTCTACAATATCTAAAGTTTATCAGATTGCAAATGCACAGTAGTGCACAATAGTACTTAGTATCGAATTCACAAAGACTAAGATTATACAACGACTCTTAAAGAGTAGAGTAGAGCTAAGAAAAAAAGGTTTTGTTTGTAGTTTCAGCTGCAAGAATATAAAACCAGAATGGAAAGAAAAATGTAAACTATGAATTAAAAGCATCATGTCTTAGATAATCTCAGGAAACACAGATTAACAGATTGGTTTGACAAGAAGGTTATTAAGAATCATCTTAGAACTCAAATCACTTAATTAGACTAGCATTCGTTCGCATTACTAAACCTGTACTAGAAACCTAAAGACTAATTTCCGTTGAATTTCAGAACTTTAAACATGCAATAAGATAAAGTTTGATAGGTTCAAGAAACGCCCTAATATCAACTTCCATTGGCTAAGAATATTTTGCTTCATGCATTAAAATAATCACTTTAATGCTATAAACAACCTAGCTATTATGAACAAGATGTACGGTTAAGTTTCCACTTATAAGAACAATCTAGATGGAGAAATCGATAGATTATTTCCTATTTTAACTAATCACAATCCTCATCTCTTGAATCCTTAAATCTAAATAATCAAAATCCTCATCTCTTGAATCCTTAAACCTAACTACTCAACCATGACAATAGAAACACATGAAGATGATAAATATTGAATATTGGATTAAAAAAAAAAAAACTGGAGTTCAGAAATCTTCTCCAAAAGTATGAATTTGTGTATCCAAAATTTCCAAAACCAATAAGTCTGATGAAAAAAAAAAAGATTTTTTCTAAACAATGATTGAAAATAACAGATATAGGTTTGGTTTTGTCAGGGTTAAAATCTGGTTAAACTAAGCATAAAATAAGAAAACCCAAAAATTTGCTTTTTTCACATGTATTGGACCGGTAGATTTATTCACGTGTTGAACCGACAAACAAACTAGTCTTCAGTTAGATGTGCATAACTTTCAATCTAATCGTTGGATTGACCTAAGACAAGTGAAATTGAAAATATAACTCAATTTTCTATCTTTTGTCTAAATTTGAGTTCAATGGAATCGTGTGAAGTTCTGCATCTAATAGGTAAACTTCTGACACATATCTACAATTCTGGAATTTTATTTGATCCTTTACATCCAATTCGACATCTTCAACTCTGACTAGACCTAAAATATGAAAAGACAACTCAAAACAAATGTTAAAAATTGGCAAAAACACTGTTTATCAACGTTATATATCCACCTCCGTCTATGTCAACTTTCTCAAATCCTGCTCTTGATCTTTGTTGCCATTTCTCTAGCTTAGTTTAGGTTAAAAAAATCTAATTAATCATCATTCACTAGCTTAAATTACATACATACCGCTTGAAGAATCTCTGCGACTCGTGCATTCTTAAGCTTCCAAGGATGATCTTTTGCAATATTTAACCATTAATTAACGTTACATATAGACTAGTGATTGAGTTTAGTTTTCTGTTACCAATTTTACCTTGCCTCATCCCGTCAAGGCTAAATGGCTAATGGTGCAATTTTTATCAACATCAATGGCATCAAACTGGTTTCTAAGATCAGCCAACTCTTCTTCATCAAGTGTCGCTGCAAGAGCCTAGAAACCGAAAAATCAACAAAAACCCAAAGTTAAGTATTTCGGACATCCGATCAGATTATATATGGGGACTGAATGGATAATCCAAATAAAAGTAAAATATACACATCCAAAACCTATCAACGGGTTTTTGATCGACACGTTTAAAAGAATCCAAAAGTACATTTTATATAGTACAGAAAATGTAATTAAACATTAACCAAAAGTAGTGATAAATAACATACATAAAGTTATACATTATTTACAAACCTAATGAATAGTACCTTCCATCTTTTTATTAAAAAAAAACAACAACAAACAAAAAGCTTCTAAAGTTTTTTGAGTTAGAACCAAGGATGCCATGTTGGATCCATCATACATAAGTTGCGTGGCGACAAGGCTGCCTCCACCAACTCGTTCACTCCCCTTTGCACCGACTGTGGCGGCTCCACAATGTTCTCATCCTGCAAAACAAAAAATCGATCAAAATGTTTCCTCTTATATAATCATGATGATAAATAAATGATGGTGATCATGCATGTACCTCTTCGGAAAAGTACTGTGGGGCTATTCCTCTGATCCGGCCAATGACATCGTTCACGTTGGAGTTAACTTTGTCCTTCAGCTCGGCTGAGTTCAATGTAGCAATCCCTCCAACGGGAGGAATCGGCATACCAAGAGGTCGTCTTCCAAACCATGACAGCAATTCATCACGGAAGAACATAGCTAGTTGATACCGAAGATGATCGTTTTGCTGAAAAATTTGTAGAAAAAAAAAAGCATTAGAGTTTAAAGATCAGTTAATGGCTTGTTGTTGAATCCATTAGCTTTTGTATATTTATTTGGTTTACCTTGGAGGAGATAACTGCTTGAGCTGCTGAACACATGGAAGACATGAGAAGACCTTCGACTCCAAACTGAGAGAAGAACGCTTGCATGTTCCTTGTGAGGCGGAAAGGCACTGGTTCATTAAACTCGATCATCCCATTGGCGTCATAGGCAGGATGAAAATCTGTCTGGAACATTTTCCCGGTGTTTTTTGCAAACAAGACCTTGTTCGGGGACCTCCCACCAATTTGTAGCATGAAGGACATGAAACTAGAGACAGCTAGCTGGACTGCAAACTGCTTCTTGAAAGCCCACATATGGCTTCCGCTCATCAGTGTCTTGTACATGTACTGAGAGAATATACTGTCATTGACCAAGGTTTTTGTGATTTCACTGTAAGCCTGGAAACGAAGATCTCCAATTGCCTCTGCTGACACTTGCCCTGATATTGCTTGATTGAGTTGCTCCTTGAAGTGGCTAATCGGAAGATCTGCCTCTCGGTCGTTCCGTGCACAGTGATTCTCATACACCTCAAGGAAAGTGTTGTACATGAGATCATCCTCAACCATCCGGACCTGAAACCAAATATATGTTGTTTTAACATCTTCTATGTCAAGATTTGAGGGAATCTTGTAAAATGAACCACCACGCATCAAATATGATTTATGGTATTGAAAATCACCTGAGACCAGACAGGAATGATGATTGGAGTGTGAATTCCAATGTGTCGTCTTCTTGATTCCTTATGCTTATCAAACATTTGGTTCATCACACGGAAAAGCTGCAAAATCCGTTCATCACTTCGGGCATTAGGAGTCAATGAAGTCTGGACTATAAAATGCTTCTGGGAGCCATCTGAGCCAATAAGAGTCAACCGCCTGAAGCTGCTTCCATGCCTTCGAACAATAGGTACATCTGCTCCAACCCTATCCAGCTTTACTGTATGATCAGGTGCTACTTCCTGAAATAGTTGAGCGCATGAGCAGGTTAAAAGAGGAAAATTTTATATTTAAAGACTTAAGTTAAATATTACAGACTTAATTCTACCTGATCAGCAAAGTACTGCCCTGGTATCTCCACGTCAACAACATTGAAGTCACGCAATACCCTGCTTTCATCTTCCAATCTCAACACAGCCGGAAACCTGTCTTCAACATTGCTCTGGAGAATGTTTTTCCATTTCTTCAGTCGCGTTGTAAGCTCAGCAAGTGTGGCCGGGAATGTACTTGTACTTTCTGGAT